CTTTGTATTGTTACTGCTTGTCTCTTTGTTTTTAAAAAGTTTTCCCTTTCATACTCTCACAAAATTGTCCTCCAGTTTGGATAATCTATCCTTAGTTTCTTTCAAGCTGATTTGCCATCTTTCTATAGAGTTTTTAATTTCCTGGTGATCTCTTTGAATCTGCCTCATATATTCTATATTTTTTTATATTCTTCACCAAATGGTTCTCTCTTGTGTTTGAGTTCCTCCCTTCTTCCGTCTGTGTCTGCTTGAGGGGTGCTTAGTATCTTTTATTAATCTTCTTATATCTTACTTTATTTGTTTTAATATCTCACTTTTGAACTCATCTATGAGGCCCCAAATATATCTCTCTACGTCCCCTGCCACTGTGCCTGATATTGCATGTTTGCTGTCCCCATTCTCCTTTGTATTTACCTGTCCTGGGTCAATGTTCTCAGGGTTGGGGCCTGGGGACTTTTTGTTGCTGCTTCCTCCTCCCATCTTTTTTTGCTTCTTCCAAAAGGCCCCAGTTTCTTTCTTTGTTGGTTACAATTCTTCTGAAGCATGCTGGTTAGATGACCCTTCACACCGAACTGTGTTAGTGAGTTTCAGACAGGGACAGTATATGCTGGCCCCTCTCCTCCAGATTAGTCAAGCTGCTGTGGCCTGCACTGCTGTATTACTTTGTGCTGCCTCCTTCCGGACCAGCCAAACCTCCGAGGCCCCACTGGGCCAATGTGGTTAGTGTGTGACACCACTGCAGGGACTTGACCTGGGATAACCTATTGGGTTTCAGCCAGGTCACATGACCCAGGTCTAGCTCACTCCACCAATCCCATTTAGGAAGGGAACAACTGACTGAAGTCACTGCTGCCCCTTGTACTTGCCAGTTCTGCCTGATCCCAGAATGTTGTCTTTTGGGGCCCCCGATTTATGGAATAGCTCCACTCCCATCACTCACCACAGGTCAATGTAGGCTCCCCACCAACTCAGCTCTCCATTTAGCTTGCTGACCCCTGAACTCAATGTAACTGCTTCTCCAGTGAGTCTAAGCAGCGAGACCTCCGACAGCTTGGCAAGTCACGGCAGGACTCTGGCAAGTCATGACAGTACCCTGACCAGTCGTGGCGGGACCCCCGGCAAGTTGCAGCAAGACCCTGACCAGTCATGGTGGGACCCCTGGCAAGTTGCAGCAGGACCCCAGCCAGTCACGGTGGAACCTCTCGGCAAGTCGTGGCAGGATCCCAGCAAGTCACAGCATCAACCAGTCACAGCGGGACCTCTGATGGTCAGCAAGTTGCCTTAATTTCTTCTCGGGATGAGAGAATTCATCTCCCTTTGTTTGGAGCTCCCCATTCTGTATTATGTTGAATTCTAAGTTGACTATCTCAGGGAGCTTCTGTAGCCAGTTGTTATCTATCTGCCATCTTTGCCTCAGAGCCAAGCTTTCCAGTTTTATCCTTTTAGTAACATGTTGGCTTTTGATTTGTCATAATGGCTTTTATGAGATTGAGATAAATACCATGTATTCTGATTTTCTCTGGGGTTTTTACCACGAATGAATGTTGCACTTTATCAAAAGCTTTCTCTGCATCTATTGAGATGATGATGTGATTTTTGTCTTTGGTTCTGTTAAGATGGTGGCTTCATTTATTGATTTGTGTATGTTAAACCATTCCTGCATTCCTGGGATGAATCCCACTTGGTCAAAGTGTGTAGTCCTCTTTATTTACTGCATTTTGTTTGCCAGTATTTTATTGAAGAGTTTTGCATCTATGTTCATTAGGGAGATTTGCCTGTAGTTCTCTTTTGTGTGTGATATTTCTCTAGTTTTGATATCAATATAATGCTTGCCTTCAGGAATATGTTAGAATTGCTTTGCTTTCAATTTCATTGAAGAGTTTGAGGTGTCTTGATGTTAAATATTCTCTAAATTTCTTATGGAATTCAGCTATAAATTCATTGGGATCTGGACTTTTCTTTGTTGATGTTTTTCATTATGTTATTAATTTCAGTAATTGATAAGTGGGTATTCAAAAGTTTTGTACCTTCTTGATTCATTTTTGATAATTCCTACATTTCTAGGAATATGCCCATTTCTTCTGTGTTTTCCAGACTTTCTGAATAAATATTTTCAACATAGGTATTGATGATCTTCTGAATTTCCAGAGTATCTGTAGTAATTTCATCCTTTTTATTCCTCATTGTATGAGTTTTTTTCTTTTCTTGATAAGGTTGACTAGAGATTTATTGATTTTATTTATTCTTTCAAAGAACCAACTCTTTGATTCATCAATTCTTTGCACTGTTTTCTTAGTCTCAATTGCATTAATTTCTGCTCTAATCTTTACAACTTTCTGCCTTCTTTGGGTTTTAGGTTTGACTTGCTCTTCTTTTTCTAAAATTTTGGGATGTAGCATTAGGTTGTTTATTTTTGTTCCTTTCATTTTCCTGATATAAGAATTCATCACCAAATTTGCCTCTGATGACTGATTTTGCTGTGTCCCACATGTTCTGGTAAGTTACATTTGCATTTTATTCAGTTGTAGATATTGTATAATTTCTTAATTTCTTCTGTGACCTATTGGTTGTTTAGGAGAGTGTTATTTAATTCCCAAATGTTTATGGAGTTTTTCTGTTTTCTTTTGTCATTAATTCCCAATTTTATTTCACTATAATCAGATAATATGCATGGGATAATTTTGATCACTTTGCATTTACTTAAGCATATTCTGTGGGCTAGTATATGGCCCATTTACAGAATTACCCATGTGCAGCTATGAAAGCTGTGTATTCTGATGTTACTGGTTGGAACACTGTACACATCTGTTAAGTCCATTTTTTCACAAGTTTGATTCACTTCTGTTATTTCTTTATTTTTTGTCTCATTGATCTATCTCTTTTTGACAATGGAGTATTGAGATCCCTGTTATAGTTATGTTATTGCTTATTTTATTTTTCATGTCCAATATTTGTCTCATATAATTAGGTGCTCCTCTATTTGGTCTATACATATTTATGATTGTTATCTTTTCCTCTTGAAGTTTCTCTCTGAATGTTGTGACTTTATCTCTTTTGGTCATTCTTGGTTTGAAGCTCACATCATCTACAAATAGAATAACTATCCCTGCTTTTTACTGGATTTCCATCATACAGAGTCTTCTTTTCCATCCTTTGACTTTTGTTCTATAAATTTTCTTTTTGAGTGAAATGTGTTTCTTGTGTATAGCATATTGTTGGAAGGGTTTTGTTCTATAAATTTTCTTTTGAGTTAAATGTGTTTCTTGTGTATAGCATATTGTGGGAAGGGGTTTCTTAATCCACCCTGCTAGTTGTTTCTTTTGATCAGTGAATAGTGACCATTTACATTGATGGTTCTGATACATATTGACTTATTTTTGTCATGTTATCTTCCTGATGTTTGTTTTCTACTTTTTCTCTCTAAGTACTTGCTATGCTTGGTGGTTTTCTACTTTTGCTGTTCTTGGAATTGTGGTCATTTTTACCTCTTTCTAGACTATTGTTTAGTACTCTTTGTAGTGTTGGTTTGGTAGTCATAAAATTTTTCAGTTGTTCTTTGTCATGGAAGTGTCATTTCTCCATAAATTTTGAAAGATAGCTTTTCAGGGTACATCAATCTGGGTTGCAAATTGTTTCCTTTCAGGACTTGAGATACTTCATTCCAAGCTCTTCTTGACTTCATGGTTTGTGTTGAGAAGTCTGCCATGATTCTGATGGGCTTTCTTTGTAGGTGATCTATTTCTTTTCTCTGACAGCTTTTAGTATTCTGTTCTTATGCTGAATTTCTGAGATATTTCTTATATGCCTGGGTGTAGATTTCTTTTGGTTATGACTAATTGGAGTTCTATATGCTTCACTTATCTGCATATTGGATTCTTTTCCAATGCTTAGAAAATTTTCTACTGTTACTTCTGCAAATAGTCTTCTTACATCATTTTTGTTGACTCCTGCTTTTTCATTGGCATCTTTTGACACTTTTTTTTTTGTCTTTTTCCTTTTTATCAGTACTGGGGATCGAACTCATGACTGCTTGTTTGCAAGGCAGGCACTTATGCCATTGAGCTAAATCCCCAGCCCCTCATTGGCATCTTTCAAACATACTGTTTTTCTTTGCATCATCTTGTGGCTGTTGAATTGTTTTGTGATTACTTGCTATTTTTAAGAGATCTTGTCTTTCATGATCATTAGCTTCCATCCTGTCTTCAAGGTCTGAGAGTCTATCTTCAGCTTCATTCAAGTGGTTCTGCCAACTTTCAATGGAATTTTTAATTTTCTGAGTATCTCTTTGAATGTTTCATGTATTCTAATTCTTTTCTATATTGTTCATTTAATGTTTCCATCATTTTCTCATGTTCTATTTTTATCTACATCTTCTTTAGATATGCTCAACATTTCTTTCATAATGTTTGTCATTTCTTTTTCTTACCTGAGAGATTATTTCTGATCTGATTTCCTCCATTGCTACATGGGAGTTGTTTACCTTTGTTACTATCATTTCAGATGTTCAATCTATAGGTTCACAGGCTGAACATCATTACATCATTTGCTTCTAAAGAGAAATGGAGCCAGGCATGGCAGCACACTTCTCTAATCCCATCACTTGGGATGCTGAGGCAGGAGGATCACTGTTAGTTTGAGGACAATCTGGGCTACACAGTAAGTTCTAGGCAGAAGGAACACTGTTATTTTGAGGCCAGTGTTGGCAACACAGTAAATTTTAGGCCACCCTGAATTGTGAAACCCTGTCTAAATAAATAAAGGCAGACGTGACCACATGAGAAAAATGAGCACTAGGATCAGAATGGGTAGGTTCTAGTCCCTAACTCTGCCACCATACTGAAAAGTTACAGATCTTTTCTAGACTTGTTTCTTCAACCAGAATGTAGAGAAGAACAAAACTGTGACACCTAGTATTTGTGGTCAACTTTGTTAGATTAAAGGATACCCAAATGTCTCAGTTCCTTTTTTCATTGCTGAGACAAAATATCCAACACCCAAAGTTAAAGGAGGAAAAGTTTATTTTAGTCCAGAGTTTGTAGAGGTTTCAGTCCATAGTCACCTGGCTCAAAGGTAGGGCAACATGACAAAGGGACATGACAGAGGAGAACTAGTTCACAGTACTGCCATCATAGAACATCAAACATTCTCTTCTCTTGTACCACATTCAGACTACAAGCTTATTGGATGGTGCCACCCACACTCAGGGTAAACCTTCCAATTATCAACACCAAGAACTGTGGTAAAATATTCAGTGGACTAACTTAATCATCATATCCTTAATTCATATTTACACACCCTTAATCAACATACATACTCTACATCTAGCCACCTCCAAAAAGCCTTACCTACAAGTTCATGAGGCTTTGGGTGGACATCTAGATACAACACTGAATAACAGGTAAAGCAATACTGAATAACACTGAATAACAGGTAACGCAATATTACTGAGTATACTTATGCAGATGTTTCAGGAAAAGATTGACATTTGAGTCACTGGGTTAAGTAGAGAAGATCTGTCCCAGTCAATCAATGTGAGTGATTACCATTCAACTGACTGAAGCCCAGGTAGAACAAAAAGCAAAAGAAAAGAAAACCTAATTCTCTCTCTCTTCTCTCTCTCTTTTCTCTCTCTCTCTCTCTCTCTCTCTCTCTCTCTCTCTCTCTCTCTCTCTCTCTCTCTCTCTCCTACGTACCTTGCTTCTGTCTCTCTGGAGAACCCTGAGTAACACAGAATCCCACATCCAAGTAATAAGAATTTCCTTAGGTAATGCTTAAAGCATTCAGTCTACTATTTGGCTTGTGAATTACCAGTTCCCACTAAAGGATGGCCATTAGACATACTTACATAGTTGTTTCTAATAAGGAAGTAACAAAAAGTCACACCAAAGACTTTTATTTAAGATTTGTAAAGTTCATATGGAAGAAGAGTTGGTAAAGACATGAAGGTAGCTCTTTAAAAAGAATCATTCTACATTTTCAGAAATTACTTTATTTTATAAAAATGCTTTTTATTCTTCTTATCCCCATAAAAAGGTCATAAAGCAGATTACACTCTCAAACAAGATGCCAAAAGTAGCTGGACTATCACACAAATTGTCTCAAAAAGCAATCATTCCTACCTCCCACTTGAGTCAGTCAGTATCTGTAAATGCCCTTATACAGCTGTCACCCTGACATCCTGAAATGATGAACTGGAATGCAAATGAATAAGTCAAATGTGTCATCATTATATAGAAACAAAGTACAATTCAGGTCCTTTTCTTAGCCACAGGAGCAATGTATGTTTCTCAGTGGTTTTCATTCATAGAGCTCCTTCCTTCCCTCAATTTCTTGTTTGATCTTATCTCCATACTCAGGCATTCTCTCTCATTTTTGTCCTTTTTGCTTTTAGGTCCCTGAAAGAGACAAGACACAAAAAGATAAAAATGAACCAGCTTCAAGTTTCTCTGAACAATGCTACACAAGGAAAGCCCTGATCATGTAGCACACTTCCACATCTTAGTCTCCAGTAATAATTAGCACGAACCCAATTTCTAAGTTACTTTTCCCATTGTTAAGAAAAAATATTCATCTTGTAAAGTTAAATTAGGAAAGGTTCATTTTTGTTCACAGTTTGTAGAAGTTTCAGTCCATAATTGGCTGACTCCAAGGCACTGTGGCATGGCAGAGGAGCATTACAGAGAAGAAAAACAGTTCATGGCAATGAAAGCAGGGGGCAGGAGGCAGCAAAAACAGCAAGCAGCAAGTGATGGCAGCAGCCCTCTTCTCTCTTACATTCTACCCAGACTGCACACCCTTAAGGCAGGTGTCACTCACACCTCTGGTGCAAATTTCTATTCACACCTAGCACAATGCCACACCAATCAATGGACTAATTTAGTAATTACACATTCTTAATCCTAGTATCACACACTAAACCTTAGACTCACACACTCTAAATCCAACCACCTCTAAAAATCCCCATCTATGACTTCAAGAGGCTTTGGGGGAACATCTAGACACAAGCCATAATACCCAATATATTATACTACTAAATGTTTTACTCATAGGAGAGAGACAGAGACAGAGAGAGAAAGAGAACCTTAACATCACAATGGATCCAAGAAGGTTGTTCAGTCTGTATACAACTGTGACTGTTGCCCTCTGATGTACTTACAGATGTGACTTCACAGTAATATCTCCTGGAGTTTTTTGACAATGAAAATGGAATCATACACAGAATGAATTCTAACCTACCCATATTCATTCCATTAAATTACATTAAGATGAGGGTTTGCACTAAAGTTTAATGTAAATACTAGAAAAGGAAATGTTAAGAAATAATATCCAACCAAATTTGCATTACCTAATAGTTTGCCCAGGATACTGAACAGAGTGTTATTCTAGGATTAGGAGATATAGCACTAAATACAGATTCTACCTGCCAGCTAGTCTTAGAAGGAGGGAGATGAACCATCAGTAAGTACAGGTGCTGATTAAAATATACAATGAATGTTCAAGTTTTTGAAAATTTATTACAGTGGAAGACATATTGCTATAATCCCCCCTCAAAATACTTCCTTCACTTTGAACACATTCATCTCATCATGTTAGCCACTTTCTGAAACAGTTCTGAAGGTCACCTTTCATATCTTTTCCAGGAATGATTAAAAATATGGTACATTCTACTGCCAAATGCCCAACAGAAAAGCAAGCTCATAAAACCCATTACAAAGTTTTCTCAACTGCCTTATACACCAGATATGGTACTGTGAGACTTCTCCTCCCCAAAGTCAGAATGACCACAAAAGATAAATGTTTTGAACTGATTTAGGGCATTGATGTAGCCACAACAATACAACTAAATGGACTGGGGATTCATCTCAGTAGTAGAATACCTTCCTAGCATGCACAAGGCCCTGACTTCAATCCCAGTACCACAAAAAAAGTACAACGAAAGACTTACAAAAAATTTCCCAAAATTGCTTCAGAAAACAATGATGGAATACGTATGCTCACAATGAGGGAGACCATTACATGATAGATTAATAGTAGTGAGACTTTTACTGTAATAACTTATTTACCTTGAACATTCATCATAGTTTTGAATCATACCTTGTAAGTCTAAAAGTAAATAAGAAAATAATTGGTGGTGGTAAGTGCAATGGTAACTACAACAAGGTGACATGATGGGAAACTACTGGGGGCAGGAAGCCCTCTTATATTTGATGACCAGGGAATGCCTTTTCATAGAAATCACTGAGCAAAAAGTGGCATTGATAAGTTTGGGGACAATATTTATATATATTTCCATGTTTCAAAAATAAACAGGGGATGGGAATTTAGCTCAGCAGCATAAGTACCTGCCTTGCAAGCAGGAGGTCGTGAGTTAGATCCCTGGTACCGATAAAAATGAAAAAGACAAAAAAATAAAAATTAAAAAATAAACAGATAAAGTTCTTACTCCTCCCCCTCATTTGAATTGGAAATGTTGAAGAGCTTTGGGAAGCCTATGTAAACACATGTAGTAGTGAGTGGAATTCATAGAATATGACACAGCCTTGGAAATTGAGAATTGTAAAGATGTCTGGTTACTATGATGGTGTTGCTACAGTGTAAAGATATACCTGTTTTTATACCCAGACTATTTGTATACAGAATGGTTAACTGATTGCAATCAGAAAACCAAATAAACAATGAAGCTTAGATACAAATTAACAGAAACTTTAAAATTGTCATGTTTAGTGGTGTATGTTAACAATCCCAGCATTCTGGGAGGCTGGAGCAGAAAGATCTAAAGTTTGAGCCCAACCTGGGTAATTCAGCAACTTAGAGAGAAAATTAAAAATTAACATTTTCAGGTAAACATGTTGCATGATGATTTCCTTAGATATATCACTATATTCATCTGATCAAAAATCATATATTGCAATCATAATATCTCCAACACATTAGACTCTGTATAAAAATACAGTGATTATTATTTCCAATTTTGTTTTTCCTTTATTGATGAAAATATACAAGAATTATCAACAAATAATGATCTGAAATATGTTTTCTTATTTTATCAGTTGGAAACAAAATATGAAAATCATCAACATAAGCCAGCTGAGTTTTTCAGTAACAAAATGAAAATTTTAATATTGCCAATAATGACCAAGCCACAAAAAGAGCTTCTTACTCTTGTTTATGCTCAAAGGAGAGAAATTGATGGTCCCAAAGCAAAAATAATATAGTCAACCCTTCCTCCATGGGTTTGCATCTGTGGATTCAGCCAACAGAAAATCAAAATATTCAAAAGAACATTAATGTTTGTACTGGAAATACACAGACTTCTTCCTTTTATTACCTAAGTATATAGTGTAGTGATTATTTACATTGTATTTATATTGTATTAAGTATTAACAGTATCCACAGATTATGTAAATCATATAGGAGAATATATAAATATATCTTATATGCAAATTTTATAATATTTTACATAAGAGATTTGAGCATCCTAGGATTTGGGTATTCAAAGATGGGGGTGTTGGAATCAATACCTCAGGAATATGGTATATACATTTTTAACTTTCCTGTCAGATTGCAATTTTCAATATAATTAGTTTTAGAAAGTTGTATAGATTATTAAATAGGAAAAGGTGTAAAAGAATCTGTATATGTTCTAAATTTTTAATTTTGGAGTAAGATAAATTTCATAGTGTACATTTTAAAATTAATTTAATACATATAATTTTAAATTTATCATAATAAATTGAGTGTCACTTTCAAAGATCTCATTACCAAGCAATAAATGAAATTAAATTTGCACTTCTCAAGCTTAAAGAAGAAAAGCTTTTTAATTTCTCTCAGAAAGTGGCTCAATTATTCAATAGCTCTGTTACATACCAAAGAGTCAGAACTTTTGGTTTTAATGCACAGTTGCTGTTCAAAGGACTCTGAAAATTCCTGAATTTTATGGTGATATTGTCCTTTTGGTTCCACTGGCTCCTTGAATGACCCATTCACTGAGCATTTTCTGTAGTACAGCATGTGAGTTTGGCGTTGGAACTGTTGGTCCTGAGAATGCCTTCTGGGTTGGCAATCAGGTAATGTAGATCTGGAAAGCACAGGAAACTAAAATATAAAATTAAAAATTAACAATATAAAGAGACTGTACAATATTAGCACAGAGACAGAATGGCTACAAACTATCAACTAAACAAATCATCCTCTTGAAGGTAAGAACATTCTTCTACAATTAGGAAGCATAATCAATTAGTCAAAGTAAAAGTAGATCATTCCAGCTTACCTTTATTGCTAGCTATTTCATCAGTAGCAGGATAAATTCCAAAAATTTTTTTAATTTTAATGAAACCACAACTTTAATGAAATCACAATTTTTTTTAAATATTATAAAATTTAAATATTACTTTAATATTCTATATCTAAACCTCTCGGCATGCACTAAACTAAAATCAAAATGGATCAAGAACCAAATGTTAAACAGAAACACTTAACCTACGCCAAGTCAAAATAGGTAAAACTCTTGAAGTCACAGACATAAGAAAGGACTTTCTGAACAGAATCCCAGATGCACAGTAAATAGTTCTGAGAATGAACAAATGGGATTATATTAAATTAAAAACTTTCTACAGAGAAAAAAGAAACAGCCAACAGAGTGAAAAGAGAACCTATAGAATGGGAAAAAATGTCCAGTGATTCTTCTGACAGAGAACTAATATCTAGAATATGTGAAGAACTCCAAAAAAAAATCAGACTCCCAAATGCAAGACCCAATTAAAAATGGACAAGCAAAATGAACAAACACTTTAAAGAAGTACAAATGGTCAATAAACACATGAAGAAATGCTCAACATCACTGGCCATTAGAGAAATACAAATTAAAACAACACTGAGATTCCATCTGACCTCAGAAAAAATGGCCATCATCAAGAAATGAAGTAATAGACTTCCGGGAGAACATGGCGGACAGATAACAGCAACTACCGGAGGCTCTCTGAAAAACTAGGCTCAGAAGCCAGGTATGGTGCGGACTAAAGAGACATAAGCAGGTGGAGTTATGCTCTGCTGACTCAGGAACAAACTCGGCTGAGAGAAACCAACTTGGAATGCAGTCCTGGTGCTAAAACAGGAACAGAAAAGTCTCGCTGCTGAGGCTGGACCCTGCGCCATTGGAAGCCGCGATTTGGGTTTCCCGCCGCGCGGTAGCTGGCTGCCTCTACATCGGCTCGGCAAGGAGAGAGACGCGCGGAAACTCTGAGAACGGGAGTCTGCGAACGGAGTCGAAAACAGGACGGGCAGGGAGGCATGTTCTGACTTGTGGCGAGGTGAGTGAGAGAAACTGACACTCCACCACAGTTTGACTCCAGCGGACTTTCTGGGCCGGAGCAGTCCTGCGGGAGCAGGGCGCGGTGGCGACTCCAGCCACACATTCTCCTCTCGGGCGGGATTGGTGAAAAGTGCCTGGCCTGCGTGACGCTGCCGGCGGACCCCGTAGGCTGGCCCAACCCAGATCCCAGAGCCTGACGGAGGCCGGGAGGGGTGGGCCCCCGAGTAGGCTGCCTGGTGCGCATCAGTGAGTGGGAACACCTAACCTGCACAATTCGATCAGGCTGTGGCTGACAGGGAGAGAAGCTGGGCCTCTCATATAAGCTTGCATATATAAGGAACAGAGAATATGGGAAGAGGCAGCAACAAGAAAGGCTCCTCAGCCCCCAATTCTGAGAAACAGGCAATAGCGGACACCGCACCAATACACATAAAGCACCATATAGAGAGCCTCATAGACCAATTCAGGAATGAAGTTATCAACGACCTGAAGCTAGAAGTATGCAAAATAGTTAGAGAAATGCTAAGCCCCACCCAAGAAAAAACAGATGGTGGAATGGAAGAACAGAAAAAGAGGGGAGAATTGTTTGATGGAGAAAACAGGGAAAGCATAGAATACGTGAAGCAGGTTCAAAGGGACTACCAAGAAACTAAGAAGTCTATCGAAGACTGGCATAACAGCTTGAAAGAAACTAAGGACAGACTATCTGAACTGGAGGGCAGAATTGTAATATGGGAGAAGGAAATGAAAATCTTCTTAAAAATAACAAAGAAACAAACAGCAATAATACAAAGACAAGAAGATGATAAGAGGATCCATAACTTAAGGATTAAGAACATAAAAGAAGAAGTAGGGACACAAACAAATGAACTACAAAAGCTACTCACAGAAATAATCCAGGAGAATTTTCCTAATTTAGCAAAAGGTAAAGATACTCAGATGTATGAGGCATACAGGACCCCAGCCACCTACAACCCAAACAGAGCAACACCCAGGCATATAATAATAAAAATTCCAGAAATTCAATACAAGAACAGAATATTAAAAGCTGTCAGAGACAAGAAGCAGACCACTTACAAGGGAGCACCCATCAGAATTACAGCAGATTTCTCTGCACAAACCATCAAATCACGAAGAGCATGGGGGGAAATAATTCAAGCTTTGAAAGATAATAATCTCCAGCCAAGATTGAGATATCCTGCACAACTGTCCCTGGAAATTGATGGAAAAACAAGGTGCTTCCAGGATAAAGAGGAACTGGGGGAATTTGCAACCACCAATTCAACTCTACAGAGAGTATTGCAGGATATTCTAAAAAAAGAAAAATACAAAGAATCCAGAAATAGTGGAGGCCACAACTAATGGAGCAGAGAACAAAGTGAAGAAGACAAACTGACAGCTACTGACAGAATAAGAGCTCAACAGAAATGAGGCAGAGAAGATTGGATGATAGGAACAACTATTTTAGAGAAAATGACATCTTAATAGGTAATACTGATTTAGTATCATCTTGTTTTGAAGTCTCATCTAGCTTTTGTCCTTCTGTCTCCAATGGTCTAAATAGGTTGTATCTTACTGGATTTTATTATGTATGATAGTATAAGCAAAAACCTTTTAAAGACAAGGAGATTATACAGAAACCATTATTCATTTTCTGTTAGTCGATTCTAAATACTCTGTAATGCTGTCATTCTCTTGAATGGTTTTACATTGTTTTGATATACTTAATGCTACAGTATACGAAGTTGTACTCAAGGATTTCAAGGAAAGAGACAATATGGTAACTACTTTTAGGTCAGGATTATCTGGTGGTGAAACACTATTCTGCTTAAATGGTTATGTTTTGATCTGTGCTGTTTCATTGTTATGCCCTCTTTTATCTCAATCTCCACTCCATTATTTACTTTTTTAATACTTTTTTTTAAAATTTTTATCCTTTTAATTAAAGGAAAAATAATAGCAGGATATATTATAGTAACCCACTTTGACTTTCCATTACCTCGATTTAAAGCCCTGTATTACTCTCACCATCTGGTTTTTAACTGATGTTCCCCTATTCTGTTTTGCTGGATAGTATCAGGTTCAAAAATTTAGGCATCAGCTGTGAAGATAATGAGATTCATTATAACACCCATTCTCGTTGACTTTTATCTACTTTTGAAGACCTACAATGTCTCCAATGGTTTGGCTTTGTCGGTTTTGTTCTTTACTGTTTTGTTCAATTGTATTATAACTAATGGTATAGGCAATTCTATTAGAGATAGCGGGAGGCATTATGGTAACCATTGTTGATCACCTTGTATTATGTTTTCACATTATCTATTATGTCCACCCTTTTGCCTTGACCGATTCTGTTCTGTTATGTCTCATTTGGTTTTACTCTCTTCCAAAAAAGCAATAAGAACCGTGGGAGCAATGAAACCCAAAATGTGTAATAGTCATTGTACAAAGGAGAGGAAAAGAAAGTGCTCTAAACTATATAACTGCATGTATATTTAAGTGTATAAGATAGAATATGATATCACAGAGTTTTATTGGATCATTGAACAGAACTGTTTGCAGTATCATTGATGGAATGTCCACTTTACAAGCTTTAATTTTGTGACTTGAACAATTATTTCTAAGATGACAGTATGTAATCCATTAACTAGTGATTTCCTACTGTTCATTTTTTTTCTGCAAATCTGTATAACTTGTACCCTTTCTCTGCTTTTTTTTTCTTTTCTCCTTAAATAAAAAAAAAAAAGAAATGAAGTAATAACAAATGATATAGAGGTTGTAGAGGAAAAGGAACCCTCTTACATTGTTTGTAGGAACATGAAGTAGTACAACCACTATGGAAATCAACACAAGGATTTCTCAAAAACTTAAATCTAGAAATTCAGATAGCCCCAGGTATCTTTCCAAAAGAGTTAAAGGCACCATGTTACCGTGATACATGAACACTCATGCTTACAGATAATAGGAACATAGATAGATAATAGGAAGTAGGGAGATACATTGTTCTCATAGGGGAAAGAAATCAAAAAATGGAGCCAAAAAAGGGAGAGAAGGTACAAGGAATAAAAGAAAGGAATTGGGATGTATTATGCACAGGTACCAACCCCATGCAAGTAATATAAATATATGTACTACAAACATCTACCAAAAAAAGTAGGAAGGGTAAAGTTCAGGGTTGAAGGTGAAAGAAGGAGAAAGAGTATAAAAACAGGAATTGAAATGTGCTATGTACATGTATCAATTTTCCACAAAAAATGAACATTATATACCACACATATATACTAATAAACTAAAAATAAATAAGTCACTAGGGTGAGTCATAATCCAATCTCACTGTCAAATAATCCATATCCAATAATCCATAATCCAATCACTGAAGAGGAAATCTCGATGCATTGAAAGACACTAGGTGCTTTCTCACAAAGGAAAAATATATGAAGACCCAGCCAGAAGGAAACCATCTGCAAGCAAACTAAAGGGGCCTCAGAAGAAACCTTGGTTTTCTACTTATAAGACTCCAGAATATTAAAAACAAATTAGTATCTGTTGTTTCAGCCACCCATTCTACAGTACTTGGTTACATCTTGCTAATTCACATAATAAGAATCTTATGCTCAAACAATTAGAAATATGGTTAAGATTTACAAATATGCTAAATGCATGAGGTGAATCACCACATATCTATCCATTTGCTGTCAGTTACGGCAGTAAGTGCTGTGGATAGTGTTGGAGCAAAACAGGGTTGTGATCTTCTTCTTGAAGCTGGCATTCACATGGAAGATAG